TAAGTGCCTTTCATTAAATATCTCTCCTTTAATTCCAAACACTTGACCACAACCTCCCTTCTAGCTTTACTAAATCCAGCCAGCAGTTACCTTCAAGGTTATGTCTCACTGTTCCCTTTCTAGAGTGATATTAAGAAAAAGTTCAGTTTTTAGTAATAAATATAGGATGCATGAGTGTAAGGATATCTAGTCAGGGATGACAGCTAAAGAGGAGCACAACCTAGTAAACTGCATTAGTAGAGTGGGAGTGAGACTTGGGGAAATATGACAAGGACAACACAAAATATATTTTAAAGCTCTCAGGAGGTGAAGAAGAACAAGAAAGAGATAGATCCACTTCATAGAAAAAGTTTCAGAAAAATGTGAATAATTGAACAACTCATTTGCTTCTTTATTCATTATCAACCACATGAGAACCCAGCAAATAGGCACAAGCTGCTCTAAATGAATTAAGTAAGTTGGAGGAGACAGTATATATTTTGGATGACAGAGATGGGGGAAAAAAGGAGAAAAAAAGAAGAAAAGGAAGAGAGACGAGAGGATGAGACGTGGAAAAGAGGGGGGAGGAGGGGGGGGGGGGGGGGGAGAGAGAGAGAGAGAGAGAGAGAGAGAGAGAGAGAGAGAGAGAGAGAGAGAGAGAGAAGAGAGACGAGAGAACTCTTTGGTGTCTCTTCTTATAAGGGCACTAATTCCATCATGAAGGTCCTATCCTCAGACCTTATTTGAGCCTAATTATCTCCCAAAGGCCCCATCTCCAAATATCATCATATTGGGGATTAGAATTTCAACATATGAATTTGGGAGAACACAGTTCAATTTAGAGTAGTCACATTCTGAGGTGCTAGGGGTTAGGATTTCAACATATGAATTTGAGGGGGTAATACAACCCATAATAGTCTCCCCTCTGGTCTCCTCTGAGATAAGGAAAAAACCAAAGTGTTTTTTCCTCTTGTATACATAGTCACTAAATACAATACTGAATACTTCACCTCTGGTCACCAAAATTTGTGGGGATTACTCCCCACCAGCAACCAGTCAGTTCTCCAGCAGATACCAGCTGGGTATCCTATAACTCAATTGAATTCTGACCTATCTACCTGGAGATGGCACCAGATCCCACAGATTAAGGGCTCAGCCCAACAAGATTTCCCCCACTTCAGGTGCCAATTGCCAAGTAGTGGATTGTTACCTATTTACAAGGGTACTTCAAAAAGTTCATAGGAAGATTTGTATCATCTTTTGATTCTGTGTTTACATGAACTTTTTGAAGTACCCTTCTATGTATTCTCTTATACAATAGAAACTTTCTCTACAGCTCCCCTCTTCCCTTGGTGAGCCCTCACCAGAATCTCCTTCGACCAACAGTCTCTTCAAGCAGTGTACGCTTTTTCTATCATGCATCTCAAAACTCTTCCATCCTCTACCCATTACCCAATTTCAAAGCCACTTCCACATGTGTAGATATCTGTTACAGCAGCACTGCACTGCCAGTAGCCGAATCTCTCAGGGACTTTTCTCTCAGATTAAGAGAATGGGAGAGAGAGA